TCAGAAGAATTATTTTTCTTATTTATGTGCCATGTCCATTGAGGATGTTGGCAATCATGACACTCCACCTCCCTCTATCACTTGTAGCTCTCAGAAGAATTCTTTTTCTTTTTATATACCATGTCCTTTCAGGACGTGAATAATCATGGCTCTCCACCTCTCAAAAGAATTCTTTTTTATAGTTTATTTCCAAAATAATTCAGGACAAATAGGCGACCATGGCTCTCCATTTCACTCTATCCATTTTAGCTCTCAAAGAATTTTTTTTAAATTTTATGAAAAATGTTTTTTTAAAAGATAGGCAATCATGTATTTCCACCTCCCTGTATTGACAATGATCTCAGAAGAATTCTTTTTTTTTTTATGTGCCATGTCCTTTCATATTCATGCGATCATAAATCTCCAATCCCTCTAAAAATGTAGCACTTTCCCAAGAATTCTTTTTTAAAATTTATTTTCATGTCCTTTCAGGACATTTTTGCGATCATGGAAAAGGCATTGAAAATTCCTCTATCCCATATTCAAGCTCTTGGAAGAATTCTTTTTCTTTTTAATGCCATGTCCTTACAGGAGGTGGGCGATCATTGCTCTTTATCCCTCTATCCCATACAGCTCTTGGAAGAATTCTTTTTTTAAAATATGGGCCATGTCCTTTCAGGACGTAAGATCATGGCTTCTCCTCCTCTGTCCCTTGTTAATGATTTTTCTTTTTCTTTTTATGGGCCATGTTTTTCAGGACGTAGGCCAATTGGCACTTTTCCCTCATCAAAACATGTAGCTCTTGGAAGAATTCTTTTTCTTTTTACGTGCCATGTCCTTACAGGACGTAGGCGATCATGGCTCTCCATCTACCTCTATCCCTTGAAGCTCTTGGAAGAATTATTTTTCTTCTCATGGGCCATGACCTTTCAGGACGTTTTTCTTCATTTGCATCCACCTCCTTCCAATCCATGTAGCTCTTGGAAGAATTCTTTTTCGTTTTATGGGCCATGTCCTTTCAGGACGTAGGCGATCATTGCTCTCCATGACAAATTTTTTCTATCCCATGTAGCTTTTTTCATCTTTTTTTTTTTACGTGCCATGTCCTTACAGGACGTAAAAAATCATATCTTTCCACCTTCTCTATCCATTGAAGCTCTTGGAAAATTATATTTCTTCTAATGGGCCATGACCATCCCAGGACGTTTTATTGGCGATCATTGCAATTTATCCAACATCTCTATCCCATGATCTTGGAAATTTTTTTTTTTTTTTATTTAAAAAAATCCTTTCAGGACGTAAAGATCATTTTCTTTCCTTGTCTGTCCTTGAAGCTCTCACAAAATTATTTTTTTTTTTATGGGCCATGTTCTTTCAGGACGTAGGCCATTAAAAATCCTCCCTCTAACCACTGCAGCTCTTGGAAGATTATTCTTTTTTTTTTTATTTAATGTCCAGAAATGGACTGATATAAATCAATGGCTCTCATCTCCCTTATTCCTTGTAGCTCTGAGAAGAACTCTTTTTCTTTTTATTGGCCATGTCCTTTCAGGACGTAAACGATCATTGCTCTCCACCTCCCTCTATTCCCTTGCAGATCTCAGAATAATTTTCTTTCTTTTTATCTGCCATGTTCTTTTTTAGGACGTGGCGATCATGTTTTTTCCACCTACCTTAAATTTTATTGTAGATCTCAATTAAGAATTATTTTTTCTTTTTTTATGTGCCATTTTCTTTCAGGACGTTTAGGCGATCATTGGTCTCCACCTCCCTCCATTTGCAGCTCTTGGAAGAAAATTTTTTTTTTTTTATCAATAATTCAATTGTCTTTTTTGATCATTGCTCTCCACCTCCCTCTGTCCCTTGCAGCCCTTGGAAGTATTCTTTTTCTTTTTATGGGCCATGTCCTTTCAGGAAGTAGGCGTTTATGGCTCTTCACCTACCTCAGTCCCTTCTAGCTCTTGGAAGAATTCTTTTTCTTTTTATGGGCTATGTCCTATCAGGACGTAGGCGATCATGTCTCTCCAGCTCCCTCTATCCCTTGTAGCTCTCAGAAGAATTCTTTTTCTTTTTTTGGGCCATGTCTTCTCAGGACGTAGGCGATCATTGCTCTCCACCTACCTCTGTCCCTTGTAACTCTTGGATGAATTCATTTCTTTTTCTGGGCCATTTCCTTTAGGACATAGTCGATCATGGCTCTCCACCTACCTCTCTCCCTTGCAGCTCTCAGAAGAATTCTTTTTCTTTTTATGGGCCATGTCCTTTTAGGACGTAGGCGATCATATTCTCTCCAAAGCTGTCCCTTGATGCTCTCAGAAAAATTTTTTTTACATTTTATGTGCCATGTCCTTTCAGGACGTCAGGCGATCATTGACCTCTTCACCTACCTCTGTCCCTTTAGAAAAAATTTTCAGAAGAATTTATTTTTGTTTCATGCGCCATATTCTTTGAGGACGTATCTGATCATTTATTGCTCTCTTATTTTTCTGTCCCTTGTAATATTCTCTTAGAAGAATTCTTTTTTTTTTTATGGGCCATATCCTTTCAGGACGTAGGCGATCATGCCTCTCCACCTCCCTCTATCCCATCCAGCTCTCAGAAGAATTCTTTTTCTTTTTATGGGCCATGTCCTTTCAGGACGTAGGCGATCATGGCTCTTCACCTACCTCTGTCCCTTGTAGCTCTTGGAAGAATTCTTTTTTTTTTTATGTGCCATTGCCTTTCAAGATGTAGGCGATCATGGCTCTCCACCTCCCTCTATCCCTTGCAACTCTCAGAAGAATTTTTTTTTCTTTTTATGGGCCTTGTCCTCTCAGGACGTAGGCGTTTATGTCTCTCCACCTCCCTCTATCCGTTGCAGCTCTCAGAAGAATTCTTTTTCCTTTAATGTGCCATGTCCTTTCAGGGTGTAAGCGATCACCTCCCTCTTTCTCTTGCAGATCTCAGAAGAATTCTTTTTATGTGCCATGTTCTTTCAGGACGTAGGCGATCATGCTTCTCCACCTCCCTCTATTCCTTACAGCTCTCAACAAGTTACTTCCCTCTGCTTCCTCCCCCCAGACCACCTCCTGTTATCCAAAAAAATTAAGTCCGTCAGGCTTGTCACGCGTTGCTTTCCCTTGTATTCTACCTACGATTACTATATTGCCAAATTCCCGAACCAACGATTTAAGCCAATAAGCTTTTGTCACGTCCGTCATTCCTTAATCATAGAATTTATGTGCCTTAAATGTTGCTGCTGCTGTTATACTTGACTGCATTCACTGTCGCTCCTCTTATATTACTGCTGCTGCTGAAGCTTTGCTGTCATTTTACTTTATTTTATTTTATTTTTTTGTTTAATTTGATCCCCCAGATATTTATTTCTATGCTGGGCTTACTTATTGACTATTATAAGATTTCTGAAGTTATGATACGATCAGCTTTCACTCTTTTTTATGTACCATGTCCTTTTCAGGAACTTTCTTGGCGATCATGGCTCTCCACCTCCCTCTATCCCTCGCAACTCTCAACATGTTCCTTTCATCTGCTTCCTCCACGTTCTGTCATCCACCTACTCAAGCTCGCCAGGTATGTCACTCCATTGTTTTCCCTTGTCTCTTTTTCCCCATATTCAACTCATGAGTATCAGATTCTCCAGGCCCTCCTTCCTCATTATGTGTCCCAGAAACTTCAGCTGCCTCTTCCTGATATTAAGTATAAGCATTTTTTGCAACCTCTCTAAGACCCCATCGTTACTCACACGCTCGCTTCATGATAGCATCCTTCTGTAGAACTATATCTCTGTCGCCTCGAGTCTCTTCTTAATCTTAGAAAAAATCGTCCAACATTTGCTGCCGTAGAGAAGGACAGATGTCACGTAACAGCTCAGTATTCTTTTCTTTGTTACCAAAGAAATCCTTCTGTCTCGCAATACTCTGCCCAGCTTTTGGAATGCGTCCTTGGCCATCCCAATATGTTCGGTCCACGATATCCTTAGCATTCCTCTGTAGAACCATATCTACGTCGCCTCGAGTCTCTTCTTGATCTTTGAGGAAATCGTCCAACATTCGCTGCCGTAAAAAAGGACAGATGTCACGTATCAGCTCAGTATTCTTTTCTTTGTTACCAAAGAAATCCTCCTGTCTCGCGCAATACTCTGCCCGGCTTTTGGAATGCGTCCTTGGCCATCCCAATATGTCTACGGATCTCACTTACCGTCCACTGTCAAGACGCTTCCAAGATATTTAAACTTCCGCGTCTGCTTGATTCTAGTGTTCCCGACCTGCAAATCGCATTTCGAGCTCATCCTCTTACTCAGCCCACCCAAAAATCAATATTAGTTACAACACTTGGGTGCAACTTATAATTATCCTCGAATGGGGGGGCTTAACGATCTGAATGGGGGGGGGGCTAAAAAGCGAACTGTATAATAATAGATCTATCTATCAAACAAAAACATTTCATCGAAATATGATGAAAACTGTGGAAATGCATAAACAACATCCCATCACACACACACACACACACGCACACACATTTTGAGATTTATAGATATAAGATAATGTTTCGGCCGTTGTGCTCTCCAACCTTCCTTAGGTATATATCGATCTGAGTAACCTAAAGAGAATTCCGAACTGAAAAATTTATTTAATCTACGGTGTAGACTGTTCTCGTTCCACAGCTAATGACTAGGGATATCCCATCTAGTTCTTATTTTTATTTAGTGGTGCTCGGTGAGTGCAAGTACACACTGTCCGACCCAGGGATTGAACTCAAAACCACTCCTGTTACCAAACTCAGTTCGGTATTCCCTGTAGGATACTCAGATCGATACACACTTCAGGAAGGCCGAATAAAAACAACAAAGATGAGGACAATAGTTTGAATATAAATGGTGTAAATGATGATAAATTCTCATCCCAGAAATTCAGTCAAAAATCCTCTCTGCTTCTTTCACGTTCCCCTCTTCTCCCCCAGCTATGGGTTAATTAGTATCTCTAAACCATTATTATCTAAAAAAAAAATCTTACAGTCTAAAACGTTGAAACACCGGTTCTCTTACGGTCTTGAAGTTAAGCAACGTCGAGCCTGGTCAGTACCTAGATGGGTGACCGCTTCGAAATACCAGGTGATGTAAGTTTGGACGGTGTAATGGATAACGGTTCTGAAGTGTAAATCGTAGAGCCGAGTTCCAGTTCCAGTAAGGATCGTTAAATTCTTACTTCACTGCCATGAGGAGGACTGATTTTTTCTTGTTTTTTTTTCTTTAAATTCTATTTTCTTTTCGTTTCTTTTGCTTCAAGTCTTTTTTCATCTTGAGGAAATTGTCCAGCATTCACTGCCATATGGAGGATTGATATTACATAGCAGTTCAGCACTCTTTTCTTTTGTTTCTCTTGCTTCAAGTCTCCTCTTCATCTGTGAGGAAATTGTCCAGCATTCACTGCCATATAGGAGGATTGATATTACATAGCAGTTCAGCACTCTTTTCTTTTTTTTTTTTGCTTCAAGTTCTCCTCTTCATCTGTGAGGAAATTGTCCAGCATTCACTGCCATATAGGAGGATTGATATTACATAGCAGTTCAGCACTCTTTTCTTTGTTTCTCTTGCTTCAAGTCTCCTCTTCATCTGTGAGGAAATTGTCCAGCATTCATCTGCCATATAGGAGGATTGATATTACATAGCAGTTCAGCAAGAACTCTTTTCTTTGTTTCTTTTTGTTCAAGTCTCCTCTTCATCTGTGAGGAAATTGTCCAGCATTCACTTATAGGAGGATTGATATTACATTTCAGCACTTTCTTTGTTTCTCTTGTTCAAGTCTCCTCTTCATCTGTGAGGAAATTGTCCAGCATTCACTGCCATATAGGAGGATTGATATTACATAGCAGTTCAGCACTCTTTTCTTTGTTTCTCTTGCTTCAAGTCTCCTCTTCATCTGTGAGGAAATTGTCCAGCATTCACTGCCATATAGGAGGATTGATATTACATAGCAGTTCAGCACTCTTTTCTTTTTGTTTCTCTTGCTTCAAGTCTCCTCTTCATCTGTGAGGAAATTGTCCAGCATTCACTGCCATATAGGAGGATTGATATTACATAGCAGTTCAGCACTCTTTTCTTTTGTTTCTCTTGCTTCAAGTCTCCTCTTCATCTGTGAGGAAATTGTCCAGCATTCACTGCCATATAGGAGGATTGATATTACATAGCAGTTCAGCACTCTTTTCTTTGTTTCTCTTGCTTCAAGTCTCCTCTTCATCTGTGAGGAAATTGTCCAGCATTCACTGCCATATAGGAGGATTGATATTACATAGCAGTTCAGCACTCTTTTCTTTTCTTCTCTTGCTTCAAGTCTCCTCTTCATCTGTGAGGAAATTGTCCAGCATTCACTGCCATATAGGAGGATTGATATTACATAGCAGTTCAGCACTCTTTTTTTTGTTTCTCTTGCTTCAAGTCTCCTCTTCATCTGTGAGGAAATTGTCCAGCATTCACTGCCATATAGGAGGATTGATATTACATAGCAGTTCAGCACTCTTTTTTTTTTTTTCTTTGCTTCAAGTCTCCTCTTCATCTGTGAGGAAATTGTCCAGCATTCACTGCCATATAGGAGGATTGATATTACATATTACAGCAGTTCAGCACTCTTTTCTTTTTGTTTCTCTTGCTTCAAGTCTCCTCTTCATCTGTGTGAGGAAATTGTCCAGCATTCACTGCCATATAGGAGGATTGATATTACATAGCAGTTCAGCACTCTTTTTTTTGTTTCTCTTTGCTTCAAGTCTCCTCTTCATCTGTGAGGAAATTGTCCAGCATTCACTGCCATATAGGAGGATTGATATTACATAGCAGTTCAGCACTCTTTTCTTTGTTTCTTTTGCTTCAAGTCTCCTCTTTCATCTGTGAGGAAATTGTCCAGCATTCACTGCCATATAGGAGGATTGATATTACATAGCAGTTCAGCACTCTTTTTCTTTGTTTCTCTTTGCTTCAAGTCTCCTCTTCATCTGTGAGGAAATTGTCCAGCATTCACTGCCATATAGGAGGATTGATATTACATTCAGCACTCTTTTCTTTAGTTCATCTGCCAGCATTCTTTTTGATTTTTCTTCAGCACTTTTTTTCTTTGTTTCTTTGCTTCAAGTCTCCTCTTCATCTGTGAGGAAATTGTCCAGCATTCACTGCCATATAGGAGGATTGATATTACATAGCAGTTCAGCACTCTTTTCTTTGTTTCTCTTGCTTCAAGTCTCCTCTTCATCTGTGAGGAAATTGTCCAGCATTCACTGCCATATAGGAGGATTGATATTACATAGCAGTTCAGCACTCTTTTATAGGAGGATTTTTCAGCACTCTTTTTTTCTTCTCTTGCTTCAAGTCTCCTCTTCATCTGTGAGGAAATTGTCCAGCATTCACTGCCATATAGGAGGATTGATATTACATAGCAGTTCAGCACTCTTTTTTTTGTTTCTCTTGCTTCAAGTCTCCTCTTCATCTGTGAGGAAATTGTCCAGCATTCACTGCCATATAGGAGGATTGATATTACATAGCAGTTCAGCACTCTTTTCTTTGTTTCTCTTTTGTCAAGTCTCCTCTTCATCTGTGAGGAGGATTTGTCCAGCATTCACTGCCATATAGGAGGATTGATATTACATAGCAGTTCAGCACTCTTTTCTTTGTTTCTCTTGCTTCAAGTCTCCTCTTCATCTGTGAGGAAATTGTCCAGCATTCACTGCCATATAGGAGGATTGATATTACATAGCAGTTCAGCACTCTTTTCTTTGTTTCTCTTGCTTCAAGTCTCCTCTTCATCTGTGAGGAAATTGTCCAGCATTCACTGCCATATAGGAGGATTGATATTACATAGCAGTTCAGCACTCTTTTTTTTCTTTTTTCTCTTGCTTCAAGTCTCCTCTTCATCTGTGAGGAAATTGTCCAGCATTCACTGCCATATAGGAGGATTGATATTTCATAGCAGTTCAGTTTTCTTTTTTTTCTTTCTTCTCTTGCTTCAAGTCTCCTCTTCATCTGTTCAGGAAATTGTCCAGCATTCACTGCCATATAGGAGGATTGATATTATTCATAGCATATAGTTCAGGACTCTTTTCTTTTTTTTTTCTTTGCTTCAAGTCTCCTCTTCATCTGTGAGGAAATTGTCCAGCATTCACTGCCATATAGGAGGATTGATATTACATAGCAGTTCAGCACTCTTTTCTTTTTCTTCTCTTGCTTCAAGTCTCCTCTTCATCTGTGAGGAAATTGTCCAGCATTCACTGCCATATAGGAGGATTGATATTACATAGCAGTTCAGCACTCTTTTCTTTGTTTCTCTTGCTTCAAGTCTCCTCTTCATCTGTGAGGAAATTGTCCAGCATTCACTGCCATATAGGAGGATTGATATTACATAGCAGTTCAGCACTCTTTTCTTTGTTTCTCTTGCTTCAAGTCTCCTCTTCATCTGTGAGGAAATTGTCCAGCATTCACTGCCATATAGGAGGATTGATATTACATAGCAGTTCAGCACTCTTTTCTTTGTTTCTCTTGCTTCAAGTCTCCTCTTCATCTGTGAGGAAATTGTCCAGCATTCACTGCCATATAGGAGGATTGATATTACATAGCAGTTCAGCACTCTTTTCTTTGTTTCTCTTGCTTCAAGTCTCCTCTTCATCTGTGAGGAAATTGTCCAGCATTCACTGCCATATAGGAGGATTGATATTACATAGCAGTTCAGCACTCTTTTCTTTTCTTTCTTGTTTCAAGTTCCTTTCATCTGTGTCTCCTCTTCATCTGTGAGGAATATTGTCCAGCATTCACTGCCATATAGGAGGATTGATATTACATATAGGAGGATTGATATTCAGCAGTTCAGCACTTTTTCTTTTCTTTGTTTCTTTGCTTCAAGTCTCCTTCATCTGTGAGGAAATTGTCCAACATTCACTTCCATATAGGAGGATTGATATTACATAGCAGTTCAGCACTCTTTTCTTTTTTTCTCTTGCTTCAAGTCTCCTCTTCATCTGTGAGGAAATTGTCCAGCATTCACTGCCATATAGGAGGATTGATATTACATAGCAGTTCAGCACTCTTTTCTTTGTTTCTCTTCCTTCAAGTCTCCTCTTCATCTGTGAGGAAATTGTCCAGCATTCACTGCCATATAGGAGGATTGATATTACATAGCAGTTTCAGCACTCTTTTCTTTGTTTCTTTGCTTCAAGTCTCCTCTTCATCTGTGAGGAAATTGTCCAGCATTCACTGCCATATAGGAGGATTGATATTACATAGCAGTTCAGCACTCTTTTCTTTGTTTCTCTTTGCTTCAAGTCTCCTCTTCATCTGTGAGGAAATTGTCCAGCATTCACTGCCATATAGGAGGATTGATATTACATAGCAGTTCAGCACTCTTTTTCTTTGTTTCTCTTGCTTCAAGTCTCCTCTTCATCTGTGAGGAAATTGTCCAGCATTCACTGCCATATAGGAGGATTGATATTACATAGCAGTTCAGCACTCTTTTCTTTGTTTCTCTTGCTTCAAGTCTCCTCTTCATCTGTGAGGAAATTGTCCAGCATTCACTGCCATATAGGAGGATTGATATTACATAGCAGTTCAGCAGTTCATCTTTTTTCTTTGTTTCTCTTGTTTCAAGTCTCCTCTTCATCTGTGAGGAAATTGTCCAGCATTCACTGCCATATAGGAGGATTGATATTACATAGCAGTTCAGCACTCTTTTCTTTGTTTCTCTTGCTTCAAGTCTCCTCTTCATCTGTGAGGAAATTGTCCAGCATTCACTGCCATATAGGAGGATTGATATTACATAGCAGTTCAGCACTCTTTTTTTGTTTCTCTTGTTCAAGTCTCCTCTTCATCTGTGAGGAAATTGTCCAGCATTCACTGCCATATAGGAGGATTGATATTACATAGCAGTTCAGCACTCTTTTTTTGTTTCTCTTGCTTCAAGTCTCCTCTTCATCTGTGAGGAAATTGTCCAGCATTCACTGCCATATAGGAGGATTGATATTACATAGCAGTTCAGCACTCTTTTTTTGTTTCTCTTGCTTCAAGTCTCCTCTTCATCTGTGAGGAAATTGTCCAGCATTCACTGCCATATAGGAGGATTGATATTACATAGCAGTTCAGCACTCTTT